CACACTGTAGTCATTTGCAAATGTGATTTGGCTCCTGTAGGATAATACTGCACAAAGTTCCACTTTACGTAACCTGAACGTACTGGACAAAATCAAAATGTTTCTAAAACATAATCTACTAACAAACATTGAATTTTTCTCAGATTTGTACTCAAGACACAAGGCAACACAAGAGGTAAGTCTTATAAACTAATTTAAAGTGCAACAGGTCGTTTAATGTTCAACATCAGGAAACAAGACCAACTTGTATTTCAGTGTTTCAAATAAAAAAAACAATACAACCATGAAAAAACATCATTAATAAAGGATGTGTGTGCGCTGTTTCTGGAATACATTGTATGGAAACATCTGACTAATGCTGAATAGCAATAACAAAAGAACAATGTAGGTATAAAAACATAACTCCAGTGAGAGTTTCTTTCCTTATAAAGTAAATTTAGCTCCGAAAGGTTTCAGACATCTGCAGCTTGAATTCTGTATATTAAAAAGGTTTTATTTGAGCTCACACATGCAGTCCACCATCACTGGGGAAGACTTGACCTCATTTTGAACATAAATAGCCATAAACAAATGAGACATGATCCTCTTCTGGATCACACTGTTTTAACACTTTTAGCTGTGTCACACCGAGCAGCCATAACATCATGACCACCTGCCTAATATTTATTGTGTGGGCACCCTTTTGCCTTTGGTTTTGTAGTAAGAGGTATGTTGTAACTAAATATTTACACCCAATGTCTACAAGAACTAGTTTGTGAGGTGCAAACCCTCAGGTCAGCCGATCAACTTCTGACCCACCACACTGTGTTTTCGTTTTAAAACTGAGATCTATTGCTACGTTTGCAACTCCCGTCCAGACAAAAGCAACGAAAACGAAGACCTTTGGAAAAGTTGCCGACTCTGTTTTTCGTTTTGAAACTCCGGAGGGCGTTTTAGTGAAGACGGGCAAAAACAGAGGACTTTATAAACGATGACGCAGACGCGCACGCTCGGCACTCTGATTGGGTCTCATACGTCATGTAAAGCAGACGCACGAAGCTACTGACAGAGTTTTTGATTTGGTATATTTATTGAAATATTCTGTACCGTGCAAATAACACTTATCTGCCTACACTTGTACTGTGCATGTCGCTGTTTACTTTGCGGCAACTCCAAGTCTGTTTTCCGCCGCCACAGTGTAACATTCAGTAACAGTCCCAGCTCCTTATTGCTCCATGTAAATAAATAAAAAAAAATAATACTATCTGGTCTGATTCTTCATCTGTATTTCTTTATTCTTGCAGCTCCTACACTGTGGAATGATCCACCTCTGCCCATCAGACAGACATCTTCACTCTCTGTTTTTAAAACCCACCTCTTTTCCCTGGCCTTTGAAACCTGAAGTTGACATTTTTAGAATTTTACCCCCCCCTCGATTGTATTGATTTTATTGTTTTATTGTATGGTTGTTGGTGTTTTTACTTGTATATTCTGCGTTATGTGAGCTATGTATTTAGTCTCTTATTTACATTTCTGTACAGCACTTTGTCTCCTATTTGGATGTTTAAAGTGCTCTGTGAATACATTCTTATTGATTTCTAACGTCCAGCAGGGGGCAACGCCACTGGTTGCAAAAAAAGGCAGATTGTACAGAAATCAATAGTAAAATGAGCCTATTTGTCACCTGATTGATTACCTCAGTAAAGACTTTACTAATGAGTCCCTAGTTTCAAGTCATCTTCAAAACAGCATGATGTTCATTTTCCTTCTGATGGTAATCTGTGTCCATCATGAAGAGCTCCCTCCTGCTGATCCAGTGGATCCACTTGTGGCTGGAGGTGATGCTGGTCTGAATCCCTGATCTGATGAGGAAGATCCAAGAGGGGGAGAAGTGCAGAACGTTAACATCAAATACCAACAAGCTCTTTAGGAAGACACCTTGGCTGGAAGTGGCTCGTCTGGGGTCCAGAAAAGTCTGGTCTGATTTACAGGATCAGTTCTGACTCACATTTAGTTTTTTAAGCTTGTGTTTAAGAAAATGTCCACTGACTCCACCACTGAGGACAAGTAAGATGCAGAAAACAACCAGGGTCCAAATGCCCAGACGGGATCGACCACCTGATGTGAAAAAAAGAGAGAGATAGAGAGAAGTTACAGTAACTGAAATACAACAAATACAAAAATCTGAGTTTGATTCAGCACTAATAATGTTAATTCTTTCTCTCCTCCTCACAGAGTTGAACCGTCTCCTCACCTTTAACATGAGTCTCCTCCTTTGGATCAGGAGTTTGGACATTTGTGGGAAGCAGCGGCGTCTCGTCGTCGAGGATTTTACAAAGTTTGGATCTGAAAAAACAGATTTAAAAGATTAACACCACAATATTAAAAAGAAACAACCATTATAGGAGAACGGTCACATAAAGGTTGACAAAATGATCCTTTAACTTCTACAGATGTCTGTTTTTGACCTGTGTGCAGAAATCGTCTATGTTCACTACATTTTGACAGTAAAGTTCTGCCTTGTGTTGCAATCTGGACCATCAGCATCTAAACAAACTCACCAACAATAAGTAGAATAATCGACTCCTTCACTTGGCTGTTTAACTTGGGGATGAAACATTTGTATCTCCCTCCATCAGCCGGCGTCACGTTGGTGATCTTCAGAGAAATGTTTCCACGTTTCAGTTTGTCTGTGAACAGCATCGTCCTGCCGAAGTACGACTGGAGCTTCATGTCCAGGTTTTCACGTCCGTCCCTGTAAACGTGCACGTAGTCGACCCGGCTCAGACGATCAGAGGGGTCGGGCTTGAGATCTGGCTTCGACCACTCCACCGTCAGATCCTCCACATTGTAAGCAGGATCCAGGTGGCACGGCAGGATGACGTCATCACCCGGAGCAGCGATGATTGGCTGAAGTGACCCGATCACACGAGGCTGACCTGGAAAAAGGAGGAAAATTTAAACCTTGAACTCTGATCTGCTGTGTTCATTTTATTATGATTAACCAAAGTGTTTCGGTAAATTTCTACCAAATTTCCCGCTAATAATAACTGCAACTAATTTCCATCACTACAGTTTCCTGAAGGCCAAAGTATTTCAAACTTTTTAAAAGCTTTTTTAAATGACAGATAATATTTTCAGTTTATTGTCAAGTAAGACAAGGGGAAATATTTATGCATGATTATATCACCAAAAATAAAAAGGAACAAGGGGTCACAAGCTGAATAAACATGTGTGACAGATATCACCTGGACTGCTTGTGGTTAATTTGTTCTGTCACAAGACACATGCCTTTGGTGTGAGAGACTCCCCCCTGTGACACTTAACCCCTAGTTGCTCCAGAGGCGTGCGACCTCTGACATGTATAGCAACTGTAAGTCACTTTGGATAAAAGCGTCAGCTAAAAGAATAAATGTAAATCAACTCTGCACAGCAGATTGAATAGTGATTAAATGATGATGTTAGTCTTGTGATATTACAGTGTTTTCTGGAGATGTCAGGGAACACAGATATGTGGGACTGATTCTGAAAGAAAGTTTAAGTCCAGGAAAAGGTGCCCTGTACACATTTAAAGAGGTTAATTTAAACCAAATAAAAAGACACAAAAGAGGAGGGAAGACTAAATGAAAGAAATACAGAATGTTTGAAAGCCTTCTTTAGGTCTACTGCATTATATTCTGTGATATACATCATGTCCTGGATATAATGATGATTTTATCCTGTTTTTCAGGATCTGTTCTCTGTGCCAGGGGCCTCATGTTTCCTGATTTCAGTTTGTTAAGGGTTATCAGGAGGTTACATGTGTCCCAAAAATCACTGAGCCTTTTGTATTTAACTATAGGAAAAGCATGATTTCCTCTGAGTCAGTTATTGAATAATCACTGAGTCATTGTCAGTAACATAAACCACTGAGTCAGTCCTAAGTATATCTGCTCTCCTAAATCACACATAGCTCTGAGAATAATAGGGACAGACAACACGTGGTTAACAGGGTTTCTATGGAAGAACTTATGAATTAACAGCTGGCGTATGAATTACAACCCGATTTATCCATCCATCATCCATCGGCAACCGCTTATCCTGCATCAGGGCCGCGGGGAACCCGATTTATATCACTTATATTTATACGCAAGTCCCTCTTTCCAATCAACCTGAAGCGACAACCTGAATCCAGATTGAAAAGTATTAGTAATATTTCTGTACATGTGAGTAAAACGAAGATGTCTGTTTGTTTTCTTTAACATTACACAGATTATTGTTTGACTTATTTTGCTGTATAAAAATCAATCAATTAAATAAGCCTATTCCTTCCCGATTTCTAGTCGTTTTAAGTAGCCTAACCACAGCAGCAGCTGTTTGTTATGTTAAGTTACTTATAGTTTTACGGCTTTAACAGCAATGAGTGGCTCAACTTAATTGATATTAGGCCTACCGCTGATAATATCCTCCACACATGGGCCTACATCCATGTTATAACTTCCAGTAAATCCTTAAAGTTACTGAACCGAACAATTATTTTCAGTTTATAGACACTAAAAACCATCAGTAGGCCTAGAACAATGGACAAAGTCGCGACTTAATTAACTTCATTTCATTTATCTTATTAACGCACCGGTGGAAATGTGAATGAATGAATGCAGTTAACAGTCAATAGCAGCGTGATGAACTTACCTTTTAAGGGTGTCCAGACAGCCGTACTTAAACATATAGTCAGAGTCCAGAGCGGCAAAAAGGTAAAGTCAAGCATGGAGTTCCCGAAGAGAAACATAGAACAGCTAAGAGTCAGACAAACACACGACTGCCTCCTCACGTGAGCGCGACTGGCGAACGTGTCCTGCTCAGCTTCTTTAATTTACGTAGCACTCGTAAAGTCACGTGGCGGAGGGGGGTAGGCCCCAGTAGCTTCTTTCTGACGAGTTCGCATGACTCATCAGTATGTGATGTTTGGTAACGCTATTATGACTAATGTATTTACATATATAATCTCCTCTCCCTGTCTCTTTACATAATACTTTCTCGGGATTGCCACTCTTTTCTAGACTTTTCCAGTGATGATCTTGCTTGTAGGAGAGACAGGGATCAAACTGTGCCTCTCTGCCGAAGTCTGAAGTCCTCTGGAGCCACTAGGGGTTAAGTGTCTTGCTCAGGGACACAATGGTGGATGTCTCACAGTGGGAATCGAACCCAGGTCTCCCACACCAAACCAAATTAGTGCCTTTATAACAAATGTGAGGTACTACGGCTAAAAAGTTTCCCATCACGGTCCATTTTTATCATAATGCATGTTTGAAGAGGCAGTCCATCCATCCATCCATCTTCATTCTTATCCGGGATCGGGTCGCGGGGTTGAAGATAATGCTATTAACAAAGGGGGGAAAGTGATGTTAGCCAGTATTTGATGTACATTCAGTTGGGCTCGCATTCACTGTCCTGACTCTGGCTTTATTCATTCTTATCCCACTTTCTCAACAATACTCAACACGTTTGAAACAACTGCTCTGGCTGAAACACAAACCTTGAACCTTCCAGGCAAATCAAGCGCGCAAGCGCATCAACATCAACATCTGAACAAACATTTTAACCAACTTAACATTATTCTACTGTTTAAAACAAGCTGCAGCATCACAAGTTGAAGACGTTAATCCTTAAACCCAATAAAAAGTTACCAACCAGCATATTTACCTTTGGAGGATCCTTCCAATAGAGTTTCTGTCATTAATGTCATCCAACCTGTGCAACATAACCAAGCAACCACAACAATGTTAAAATTATTTTCCAGACCGACACAAAATTTTCCAGGACACTTGAATTTTCCATGTGTTTTCCATGACTGGAAATTTGGTCAACTGTTTCCCAGAATTTGTCTTTTACAGACCTTTTCATAGGCTGCTTTATTATTATTATTATTAGTAGTAGTAGTATTATTTTGTGGTTTTTCAGAGCAAACCACAAAGACTTAAATCATAAATTCAAATCGACCTAGCTAGAGTGTGGTAAACTTAAATCTTAGATGTAATCGTTGTAAAAAATAATAAATAAATAGAAGGACTTTATTTACATAGCAAAACGCCGTGTAATTAGGCGATTGTAGCAACTTAAAGCCATCATATTCCCTCACATTTTCCGTTCATTATTTACACAATTTGACATACAGGAGCTGTAGGAGTCCACACTGAACTTCATCTTTATGCAGTATTAATGTTTAATCCCAGAAAACAAGACCAACATTTCTTTCAATGTTCAAAGCTAAAGAAAGGAAACACCTCCTCCATCTCTACAGCTTCGACATTCTGTTCATTACTTGTTTAAGGACACTTTTTAACACTAGAGGGAGCCGCACAACAGGACAAAGTTTACATTTCCAAAGTTGCGACTTGAAGAGAGTGATGGAGAGAAGCAAATAAATGTATATACATTTAGGATGATCTTAGAGAGGCAGGTTTACATAAAGGACTTGCTATTTTAACCTCTTGAGATACGCCAAATGTATCACGTGTTACTGAGAACCATGCTCAGAATATAAAATAAGGTTCAGGAAGTATTTCACTCTAACAATAATAAACCACAATAAACAAACAATCTGCTAAACTGAAATAGAATCAACGATAAAGCAAAAATTCAGTTTAAAGAAAGCAAGTGAACATAATTCATATTTGTGGTGAATTATAGTCTGAGGTAAACTAATGCAAAGTTTAGGGGCATTCGGTCCCTTCATATTCAGCTGAGCTCTGAGAGCCTCCAGGAGAAACTGAGGGGCTGACCTGACTTTCTATATAAAACAATTCAGCATTCACCTTAATGCAGAGACAGCAGAAAGAATTAAGCCAACACACTGTAGTCACTTGGAAATGTGATTTATTTGGCTACTATAAAATAATAATAGTGCACCAAAATTGTAAAAAATATTTTAATTAACTTGAACGTACTGTATAAAATCATAATGTCTATAAAACAGAATGAACAAACATTGAATTCCACTGTTTTGAGACTCACAGCTTAAAAGCACAACACAAGAGGTAGATCATACAAACTAATTTAAAGTGCAAGAGGTCGTTCACATTTAATGTTTCTACTGTTTCAGTTTATTTCCTTATAAAAGTTAATAAAGCTCTGAAGGTGATAGACAGCTGTAGCTTTAATTCTGCATTAAAAAATAAATAATCTGAGATACTTCTTCTGAATCACACTATATAAACATAATTTATTGTGTTGCTATAACATTATGAACACATGCCTAATATTGTGCAAGTCCCCATTCTGATGTCAAAACAGCACTGAACCATCGAGGCATGGACATTGCTCGAGCATCACGCTGCCTCCGCCCGCTTGTCTTCTTCCATTAATGATATTAGCACAAGGAGGTATGTCGTTAATAAATATTTACACTCGCAACTGATCTCTACAAAAGAACTAGTTTATGAGATACAACCCAGTAAAACTCCACTTGGTAAAAACTGATGTTACAATGAGGCTCAATTTGAACTTAGAATCAAGAACCAGCTCCTGATCATCATGTTGTGGTTTATGCCACTTACTGATATGAAGTCTATTACAGTCAAGTAACATTTGGAAAACAATCATGTATATCAGCTCCAAACAAAACAGGGTTTTCACAGTTATCCTCCCTGGGGGCAGAAGAGTCTGACGATGAAGAAAGGCTTGGCACTAAAAACATTTTTTACATTTACAATTGCTATATATGTCAGAGGTCGCACCTCTGGAGCAGCTAGGAGTGAAGTGTCTTGCTCAGGGACACACTGGTGAATGTGTTGCAGTGAGAATTTAACCTGGATCTCCCACATCAAAGCTTGTGTTTTAACCACTGCGCCATCACCACCTTTTCTGTCGTCTTTTTCGTCCATCATGTGTCTCTTTAAGGTAAAATAGCTGTCATGTCTGGTTGCTACTGAAAGACTTGAAAATGACTGAGGAGGAGTCAAATTTGAGCAAACTAAAAAAATAAATATAAAGTCTGAAAGCGATCCTGCCGCTAATGATGTGATGAGAGGAAGAGGGAACTTCCGTGTCTGAAAAGGGATTGCAAAACTGGTTGCAAAAACAGTTAGATTGTATTGAAGTCAGTGAGAAAGTGAGCCTACTTCTCTAATGATTTATTCCCTCAGTAAACACTTTACTAATCAGTTCATTGTCTCTGTCGATGGTTTAAAAAGTCTCCTTCAACATTGTTAATGTTCCTTTTGATGGTAATCTGTGTCCATCATGAAGAGCTCCCTCCTGCTGATCCAGTGGATCCACTTCTGGCTGGAGGTGATGCTGGTCTGAATCCCTGAACTGATGAGGAAGATCCAAGAGAGGGAGATGTGCAGAACACTCTCATCTCCGTTAACATCAAATACTAACGAGCTCTTTAGGAAGACACTTTGGCTGGAAGTGGCTCATCTGGAGTGACATCATACTGGGACAAGTTGTTTGCTTTCCTTCTCCATCACATTTACTTTGTGAAACTTCTGTTTAAACACACATCCAGCACCAACTCCAACACCCAGGACAAGTAAGATGCAGAAAGCCACAGCTGGGATCCAAAATCCCAGATGGGATCGACCACCTGATGTGAAAAAAGTCAAACAGAGAAAAAAGTTACAGTAACTGAAATACAATAGATCCACAAATCTGAGTGTGATTCAGCACTATAATGTTAATTCTTTTTCTCCTCACAGAGTTGAATCTTCTCCTCACCTTTAACATCCGTCTCCTCCTTTGGATCAGGAGTTTGGACATTTGTGGGAAGCAGCGGCGTCTCTGTTGTCGAGGATTTAACAAAGTGTGGATCTGAAAAAACACAAGATTTGAAAAATTGTTATTATTGTTAATATTAAAATGAAACATTTACACACAAGAGTCACATAAGCTGTTGACCAAATGATCCTTTAACTTCTACAGATGTCTGTTTTTTCCTGTGTGCAGAAATCGTCTATGTTCACTACATTTTGACAGTAAAGTTCTGCCTTGTGTTGCAATCTGGACCATCAGCATCTAAACAAACTCACCAACAATAAGTAGAACAATCGACTCCTTCACTTGGCTGTTTAACTTGGGGATGAAACATTTGTATATCCCTCCATCAGCCTGTGTTACGTTGGTGATCTTCAGAGAAATGTTTCCACGTTTCAGTTTGTCTGTGAACAGCATCGTCCTGCCGAAGTACGACTGGAGCTTCATGTCCAGGTTTTCACGTCCGTCCCTGTAAACGTGCACGTAGTCGACCCGGCTCAGACGATCAGAGGGGTCGGGCTTGAGATCTGGCTTCGACCACTCCACCGTCAGATCCTCCACATTGTAAGCAGGATCCAGGTGGCACGGCAGGATGACGTCATCACCCGGAGCAGCGATGATTGGCTGAAGTGACCCGATCACACGAGGCTGACCTGGAAAAAGGAGGAAAATTTAAACCTTGGACTGACACGATTTTTGACTCTTTATTGACTGTATCAGATTGTACATGATTCTTCTTCTTATTGTTATTGATTGTATTACGAAAGTTAAGTGACTCTACTTTTATTGTATTTTGTCCTTTACATTTCTCTGTGCTGCTGTGCCAACAAGAAATGTCCCCTATAAGGGAAATTAATAAAAGGTATATCTTATAAGCGCTGTTAATAAGGAAGATTGAATCAAATCTCACATTATCAACCAAAGTTGAGTCCTGACTTGGTATCAAGGAAAACACCTGATGAGTGAGTCAGTTAGTGAATCATCACCAATTAGTCATCATCCTACAAACAGCTGAATGATGTCAGACAAATCTACGTAAATATCTTAAGAATTAAACTAAACTAAATCTCACAAAGCTCTGAGAATAACAGAGACTACATGTGTGTAACAGGATGAAAAGGTTATGAATTAACTAAGTCCCTTTTTCCCACCAACTTGAATCCAAATTCATAATTATTAGTAACAGATCTGTACATGTGAGTGAAACTCAGATATCTGTTCTTTTCTGTTACAGGTTATTAATTATACTACATGTGATGCTCTATAAAAACAATCAAACCTGTCCGATTTCTCCTCGTTTTAAGTAGGCTTACCAAACTAAGTTACAGCAGTAGCTGTTTGTTATGTTACGTGTCCTTTAACGGCTTAAACTATCAACAGCAAATCAACCTAATTGATCTACACATCGCATGAGTGTTATAATGTTAGTTTTAAAGTTACAGAGAAGCCATAGCGTTACGGAAGAATAGGCTAAACTATCAGGAGAACAATGGACACAGTCGATCCTTAAGTTATTTTTCTTCATTCAAGTCAGCTTTATTGGCATGAATGTATAGTCTAACAACAATATTATCATATTATTAACTGATTATCGCTCGACATTTGACTGAATGAATGAATGAAAGAAACTGTTAGCTCTAGTAACGAAACATATGAACTTACCTCCAACAGGCTTCGCCCACACTGCCGTACTCAAACATACAGCGAAAGTCCAGAGTGGAAAACAGGTAAAGCCAACCATGAACTTTCCAAAGTGAACCATAAAACCCCTGACAGTCACACAAATAGGTACCTCCTGAAGTGAGCTCGGCTGGCGCTGAACTACTGAAGGAGTCACTGTCACTGTACTCCTTATAGCGTGTGATGACGTGTTTGTTTGTAGCCTATGTTTTGTTTCTATGGTGAGTGGGCGGAGTTTGACTGCGTTGCTAGACACAGTGTGGTAAACATTAAGTCTCTTTTTTTATCCTTCAATATAACTCCAAATCTAATATCACAAAACTCTAACCTTGGTGCCTGAGAGTCCTTTTCAGATATCCATTTATGAACCGAAACCCAAAAGGATTTTAGATAATTACAAGCAAAAAAACAATTGCTCTAAAGTTTCCACATCCACATTACAGAAAGTACAATTAGCCTATTCTTATCAATAAATCTGTGTTTCAGAAAAACATTACAAGGACAGGCCTAAATATCATTTAATATTTTAAAATGAGTTTCTTTAGCTTTTGGTGAGGTTAAGGGAACTTGTGCCGCGTTCGAGACCGGTCGGAACTGGGTTTCCGAGTTGCATTGAACGCAACATTCCCTCCATTCAGCAACGGCATTAAAGCACACGTCAGTTCCGCAGTGTGTTACCCTGGTAACATAAACACCTCGGATACCCGCTGCTGCTGTGGACATTCACTGATATTAAATATTGAAGCCTAAACATTAAAACAAACAGATACAATTAAAACCTACATTTCTATAGTACAAAGACTTACTGAGAAGTTAGCCTGTTGTGAAAACAAAGAATTATCTGCAGACTGAATAGTTTTGACGCACTGTAGGTGGTGTAATTTACTGCGACCTACTTTGTTTTTAAATGTTTTCAATTTAGCGAAGAGTAAAACTCCACTGAGTAAACACTGACGGCTCCTGATCACCATGTTTGTGGTTTAAGTCACCTACTGATATGTAGTCTATTAAGTAGGCCTACAGTTAAGTAACATTTTGAAAATAAGTTAATTTGTGAATCGTATATATCAGTCTCAAACAAAACAGGGTTCTCACAGTTATCCTCCTTCAGGGCAGGAGAGCCCAATGATGAAGAAAGGCTTGGCACTTCAGACTATTTTTTACATTTTTACTCATTTAGCTGACACTTTTATTCAAAGTGATTTACAATGAGTCTCCCACAAAAACAGGCATGCGTCTTATCCACTGCTCCATCACCACCACTTCTGTCGTCTTTGTTGTCCATCATGTGTTGCTTTGAGGTGAAATAGCTGTCATCTCTGGCTGCCAGAGAGGCTGCAAGAGCTGAAGATGAAGTTTGAGCAAACTATAAAAAATAAATATAAAGTCTCTCTCTTAAAAAACTAAATCTCAAAAGTTAGATTGTATTGAAGTCAGTGAGAAAGTGAGCCTACTTCTCAACTGATATATTCCCTCAGTAAACACTTTACTATTCAGTTCATTGTCTCTGTCGCTAGTTTAAAGTCTCCTTCAACATCGTTAATGTTCCTTCTGATGGTAATCTGTGTCCATCATGAAGAGCTCCCTCCTGCTGATCCAGTGGATCCACTTCTGGCTGGAGGTGATGCTGGTCTGAATCCCTGATCTGATGAGGAAGATCAAAGAGGGGGAGAAGTGCAGAACGTTAACATCAAATACCATCTTTAGGAAAACACATGACGTCATACTTTGGTGGCTGAAGGACAAGTTTAATAATCAGTCAGTCGTCTCCCAGAAAAGTCTGGTTTGATTTTCACAACGTGATCAGTTTCCTTCTGACTCACATTTAGTTTTTGAGGCTTGTGTTTAATCACATATCCAGCGACGCCACCACAGACTCCCAGGACAAGTAAGACACCGAAAACCACAGCTGGGATCCAAACGCCCTGATGGGATCGACCACCTGATGTGAAAAAAGACAGATACAGAAGTTACAGTAACTGAAATACAACAGATCCACAAATCTGAGTGTGATTCAGCACTAATAATGTTAATTCTTTTTCTCCTCACAGAGTTGAATCTTCTCCTCACCTTTAACATCCGTCTCCACCTTTGGATCTGGAGTTTGGAGATTTCTGGGAAGCAGCGGCGTCTCTGTTGTCCAGGTTTTAACAGTGTCTGGATCTGAAAAAACCCAGATGACGATTGACAACACAATATTAAAAAGAAACAACATTTACAGGTGAATGCTCGCACAAGCTGTTGACAAAGTGATCCTTTAAGTTCTACAGATGTCTGTTTTGACCTTTTGACTAAGAGACTTGCTAGCAGCTCTGTGAGGCTGAAAATCATCAGTTTCAGTCTTCACTTAAAAAAGCCTGCCATTTGGGAAACACTGCCCTCTTTGCTAGCTGTTGAGCACCAAGCAGAGAACGACTGTAAATCTGTAAGTGAACTAAAATGTTTATCTCAGCAGCAGAGTTATTTAATCTAAAGAAACTTACCGACAACAATCCTAATAATCGTAGCCCTCCCCAGCTGTGGGATGAAACATCTGTAGCTTCCTTGGTCAGAGAGCTTCACGTTGAGGATCTTGAGTGAAGCGTTTCCGTGTTTCAGCTCGTCTTTGAACAGCGTCGTCCTCCCAGCGTATGACGACATCTTCATGTCCTCTACATCGTGGTTGTCACGGTAACGGTGAACATGCTTGTACGGACTCAGTGGATCTTCGGGGTCACGCGGGAGGTCGGGACGCCACCACTCCACCGTCAGGTCCTCCAGGTTGAGCAGAGGCTCCACACGACACGGCAGGATGATGTCATCACCCAGAGAGACCACGATTGGCCGAGATGAACCGATCAACTGAGGCTGACCTGAGAAATGGGGGGAAAATAGAAATCTCCTGAAAAGAGAGTGAAGTCTGGATTCTGATTTGCTTCCAAAACATTTCCAGTAACAGGAACTGTTATTTACTTAATAAAGAAGATTATAGTCTAAGTATGAGATTTATAAATCTAGAGCTGTACTTAACAATCATTTACATCACTGATTAATCTGACAATTGTTTTCTTGATTCATTTTTGAGTCTAGAAAATTGTGAAAATGCAAATTAAAGTTTAATAAAACTGAAAGTCTTTAAAATGTGGAGCACTTGGTCACAGAGTCGTGATACTAAGTTGCTGTTTCTGGAAGATATGCAACTGTTATCCTGATCCACCAGGACAATACAGAGGTTTAATCCTAGCAGGGTGTAAGATGTAATGTCACCAGCTGCTACACAATAACTCCCTCCACTGTGTTTTGTTTTATTCCCAGGAGGGTAGAGAAAGTACAAAGATATTTTCCCTATTCTGTATAATATTTCATTCTTTTTTAAAATAAAACATAGAAAATGATAAATGCCTTTTCTTTACACTTGCAGCATAAACAATCAAGCAACTACATTTATGTCTTATGTCTGAAATAATGACATCCAAATGTGGTATACACTTGTTTATTGTTATTGTATACTACTAAAACTACAACCTATATCACAAATAGATCATTTTTAAAACATCAATAAAAATAAGTGTATACACAGGAAGAGACGAGGTGTGTCCAGATGTATCGACTGATTATGAAGACAGTTCAGACTTTACTCGTAGCATCGTATCGCTGCTGTGGAGATGATTAAATATATCACAGTCACCTCTCAGACATGATTACCACATTTCAAAACCAACCATATTACTTTTGCTGTATCTAGCAATACAGTTGGAGCAGGGACACCTGACTGAACCCCATGTTGACGGGGATCATCAGGTCTCCTGGTTCTACTTCTAGGCATCTCCTCAGTAATAGACAACTGGAGGAGGAGGAGGAGGAGGAGGAGGAGGAGGAGGAGGAGGAGGAGGAGGAGGAGGAGGAGGAGGAGGGCCCTCTGGAGGTCTGCGATATAACTAGTCCTTCTCCACCTTCAATGAGTACAAGCTCCACTTCCTGGACTTTTTGTTGTACACCTTGCTGTACCTGATAAATAACACCTGACATTGTTCTCTTATACAGTAGTTAGTAGAAATAAAAAATACAGGATTTTTTACTTCTGGTAAAATAAGTAATGGCATAACACCAGTTACAGTAAAAGGTTCACACAGTAGGTTTAGCTACAAACAATGTCAAACTATATTATAGGTATCTTATACAGGTGCTGGTCATATAATTAGAATATCATCAAAAAGTTGATTTATTTCAGTAATTCCATTCAAAAAGTGAAACTTGGATATTATATTCTTTCATTACACACAGACTGATATTTTCAAATGTTTATTTCATTTAATTGTGATGATTAAAACTGACAACTAATGAAAATCCCAAATTCAGTGTCTCCAAAAATTAGAATTTTACTAAAGACCAATACAAAAAAATAGGATTTTTAGAAATGTTGGTCAACTGAAAAGTATGAACATGAAAAGTATGAGCATGTACAGCACTCAGTACTTTGTTGGGGCTCCTTTTGCCTGAATTACTGCAGCAATGCGGCGTGGCATGGAGTCGATCAGTCTGTGGCACTGCTCAGGTGTTATGAGAGCCCAGGTTGCTCTGATAGTGGCCTTCAGCTCTTCTGCATTGTTGGGTCTGGTGTATCGCATCTTCCTCTTCACAATACCCCATAGATTTTCTAGAGAGTTAAGGTCAGGCGAGGCCAACTAAGAACAGGGGCACCATGGTCCTTAAACCAGGTACTGGTAGCTTTGGCACTGTGTGCAGGTGCCAAGTCCTGTTGGAAAATGAAATCTGCATCTCCATAAAGTTGGTCAGTAGCAGGAAGTATGAAGTGCTCTAAAACTTCCTGGCAGACGGCTGCGTTGACCTTGGACCTCAGAAAACACAGTGGACCAACACCAGCAGATGACATGGCACCCCAAACCATCACTGACTGTATACCAGAAACACAGATACTTGTGGACCTTTAGCCATCTTTGTTTATGTACACTAACGTTGAAATATCTTTCTCATAACTACAATCACACAGCTACATCATTTGTAAAAGAGTAACATACAGTCAAACAACGCCTGCAGACACGAGATAATTACACAAACAGATTAGATACAAGGTGTAAAGATAGGTGTAAACATGGTATAATAAACAGCTCCTGTAGCAGCACGGCTGGTAGCCATGGCAGCGAGGGAGAGTGACAGTCAGCCAGCCAATCACTGCATTCGGTCCGAATGACACGAGCGGCTGTGTTTACTGCAGCGCTGAGAGGATTAGAGACAGCAGAGGTTCATACTCTCTTTTTCAGAGCGCCTAACTTTTTAATATGCACTGGTGAATAAAGACAGTTTCAACAAATATGTCAAAAAGTGTTTAGAAGCAACTTGCCTACCCTGCCTTTAACTGATCCACACATCACATAAGTGTTATAGGTTGTTTTAAAGTTACAGCGAAGCCATAACGTTACTGAAGAATAGGCTGTAACAATTCATTTCAGTTCATGTAGGCAACACTAGCCTAAACTATCAGGAGAACAATGGACACAGTCGATACTTAACTTATTTTTCTTCATTCAAGTCAGCTTTATTGGCATGAATGTATAGCCTAACAACAATATTAGTATTATTAACTGATTATCGCTCGACATTTGACTGAATGAATGAATGAAAGAAACTGTTAGCTCTGGTAACGAAACATATGAACTTACCTTCAACAGGCTTCGCCCACACTGCCGTACTCAAACATACAGCGAAAGTCCAGAGTGGAAAACAGGTAAAGCCAACCATGAACTTTCCAAAGTGAACTATAAAAACACCTGAGAGCCAGACAAATATACAAAAGTACCTTAATATTTTAAAATGAGTTTCTTTAGCTTTTGGTGAGGTTAAGGGAACTTATGCCGCGTTCGAGACCGGTCGGAACTGGGTTTCCGAGTTGCATTGAACGCAGCATTCCCTCCATTCAGCAACGGCATTAAAGCACACGTCAAAGGTTAAAGCACACGTCAGTTCCGCAGTGTGTTACCCTGGTAACGTAAACACCTCGGAAACCCGCTGCTACTGTGGACATTTACTGAAATAAATATTGAATAGGGTAGAGTGGGGTAAGACGCCCATGGCCATGTTTAAAGTAACATAATATAAAGTATAATAAATACCTACAGTTGACAAATGCCCCCACTGTTTGCACCCAAACATACTAATTTTACTAATTTTCTCTCTAAACAATTGCATGACTTCTCTTAAGGCTCCCCTTAAAATTGTTGGCTGGGTTTCCGAGTTGCATTGAACGCAACATTCCCTCCATTCAGCAACGGCATTAAAGCACACGTCAGTTCCGCAGTGTGTTACCCTGGTAACGTAAACACCTCGGATACCCTCTGCTGCTGTGGACATTCACTGATATTAAATATTGAAGCCTAAACATTAAAACAAACAGATACAATTAAAACCTACATTTCTATAGTGTAAAGACTTACTGAGAAGTTAGCCTGTTGTGAAAACAAAGAATTATCTGCAGACTGAATAGTTTTGACGCACTGTAGGTGGTGTAATTTACTGCGACCTACTTTGTTTTTAAATGTTTTCAATTTAGCGAAGAGTAAAACTCCACTGAGTAAACACTGACGGCTCCTGATCACCATGTTTGTGGTTTAAGTCACCTACTGATATGTAGTCTATTAAGTAGGCCTACAGTTAAGTAACATTTTGAAAATAAGTTAATTTGTGAATCGTATATATCAGTCTCAAACAAAACAGGGTTCTCACAGTTATCCTCCTTCAGGGCAGGAGAGCCCAATGATGAAGAAAGGCTTGGCACTTCAGACTATTTTTACATTTTTACTCATTTAGCTGACACTTTATTCAAAGTGACTTACAATGAGTCTCCCACAAACACAGGCATGCGTCTTATCCACTGCTCCATCACCACCACTTCTGTCGTCTTTGTTGTCCATCATGTGTTGCTTTGAGGTGAAATAGCTGTCATCTCTGGCTGCCACTGAAAGAGCTGAAGATGAAGTTTGAGCAAACTATAAAAAATAAATATAAAGTCTCTCTCTTAAAAAACTAAGTCTCAAAAGTTAGATTGTATTGAAGTCAGTGAGAAAGTGAGCCTACTTCTCAACTGATATATTCCCTCAGTAAACACTTTACTAATCAGTTCATTGTCTCTGTCGCTAGTTTAAAGTCTCCTTCAACATTGTTAATGTTCCTTCTGATGGTAATCTGTGTCCATCATGAAGAGCTCCCTCCTGCTGATCCAGTGGATCCACTTCTGGCTGGAGGTGATGCTGGTCTGAATCCCTGATCTGATGAGGAAGATCAAAGAGGGGGAGAAGTGCAGAACGTTAACATCAAATACCATCTTTAGGAAAACACATGACGTCATACTTTGGTGGCTGAAGGACAAGTTTAATAATCAGTCAGTCGTCTCCCAGAAAAGTCTGGTTTGATTTTCACAACGTGATCAGTTTCCTTCTGACTCACATTTAGTTTTTGTGGCTTGTGTTTAATCACATATCCAGCGACGCCACCACAGACTCCCAGGACAGTAAGACACACAGCTGGGATCCAAACGCCCTGATGGGATCGACCACCTGATGTGAAAAAAGACAGAGACAGAAGTTACAGTAACTGAAATACAACAAATACACAAATCTGAGTGTGATTCAGCACTAATTATGTGAACTCTTTCTCTCCTCACAGAGTTGAACCGTCTCCTCACCTTTAACATCCGTCTCCACCTTTGGATCTGGAGTTTGGAGATTTCTGGGAAGCGGCGGCGTCTCTGTTGTCCAGGTTTTAACAGTGTCTGGATCTGAAAAAACCCAGATGACGATTGACAACACAATATTAAAAAGAAACAACATTTACAGGTGAATGCTCGCACAAGCTGTTGACAAAGTGATCCTTTAAGTTCTACAGATGTCTGTTTTGACCTTTGACTAAGAGACTTGCTAGCAGCTCTGTGAGGCTGAAAATCATCAGTTTCAGTCTTCACTTAAAAAAGCCTGCCATTTGGGAAACACTGCCCTCTTTGCTAGCTGTTGAGCACCAAGCAGAGAACGACTGTAAATCTGTAAGTGAACTATAAAATGTTTATCTCAGCAGCAGAGTTATTTAATCTAAAGAAACTTACCGACAACAATCCTAATAATCGTAGCCCTCCCCAGCTGTGGGATGAAACATCTGTAGCTTCCTTGGTCAGAGAGCTTCACGTTGAGGATCTTGAGTGAAGCGTTTCCGTGTTTCAGCTCGTCTTTGAACAGCGTCGTCCTCCCAGCGTATGACGACATATTCATGTCCTCTACATCGTGGTTGTCACGGTAACGGTGAACATGCTTGTACGGACTCAGTGGATCTTCGGGGTCACGCGGGAGGTCGGGACGCCACCACTCCACCGTCAGGTCCTCCACGTTGAGCAGAGGCTCCACACGACACGGCAGGATGATGTCATCACCCAGAGAGACCACGATTGGCCGAGATGAACCGATCAACTGAGGCTGACCTGAGAAATGGGGGGAAAATAGAAATCTCCTGAAAAGAGAGTGAAGTCTGGATTCTGATTTGCTTCCAAAACATTTCCAGCAACAGGAACTGTTATTTACTTAATAAAGAAGATTATAGTCTAAGTATGAGATTTATAAATCTAGAGCTGTACTTAACAATCATTTACATCACTGATTAATCTGACAATTGTTTTCTTGATTCATTTTTGAGTCTAGAAAATTGTGAAAATGCAAATTAAAGTTTAATAAAACTGAAAGTCTTTAAAATGTGGAGCACTTGGTCACAGAGTCGTGATACTAAGTTGCTGTTTCTGGAAGATATGCAACTGTTATCCTGATCCACCAGGACAATACAGAGGTTTAATCCTAGCAGGGTGTAAGATGTAATGTCACCAGCTGCTACACAATAACTCCCTCCACTGTGTTTTTGTTTTATTCCCAGGAGGGTAGAGAAAGTACAAAGATATTTTTCCCTATTCTGTATAATATTTTCATTCTTTTTTAAAATAAAACATAGAAAATGATAAATGCCTTTTCTTTACACTTGCAGCATAAACAATCAAGCAACTACATTTATGTCTTATGTCTGAAATAATGACATCCAAATGTGGTATAACACTTGTTTATTGTTATTGTATACTACTAAAACTACAACCTATATCACAAATAGATCATTTTTAAAACATCAATAAAAATAAGTGTATACACAGGAAGAGACGAGGTGTGTCCAGATGTATCGACTGATTATGAAGACAGTTCAGACTTTACTCGTAGCATCGTATCGCTGCTGTGGAGATGATTAAATATATCACAGTCACCTCTCAGACATGATTACCACATTTCAAAACCAACCATATTACTTTTTGCTGTATCTAGCAATACAGTTGGAGCAGGGACACCTGACTGAACCCCATGTTGACGGGGATCATCAGGTCTCCTGGTTCTACTTCTAGGCATCTCCTCAGTAATAGACAACTGGAGGAGGAGGAGGAGGAGGAGGAGGAGGATGGCCCTCTGGAGGTCTGCGATATAACTAGTCCTTCTCCACCTTCAATGAGTACAAGCTCCACTTCCTGGACTTTTGTTGTACACCTTGCTGTACCTGATAAATAACACCTGACATTGCTCTCTTATACAGTAGTTAGTAGAAATAAAAAATACAGGATTTTTTACTTCTGGTAAAATAAGTAATGGCATAACACCAGTTACAGTAAAAGGTTCACACAGTAGGTTTAGCTACAAACAATGTCAAACTATATTATAGGTATCTTATACAGGTGCTGGTCATATAATTAGAATATCATCAAAAAGTTGATTTATTTCAGTAATTCCATTCAAAAAGTGAAACTTGGATATTATATTCTTTCATTACACACAGACTGATATTTTTCAAATGTTTATTTCATTTAATTGTGATGATTAAAACTGACAACTAATGAAAATCCCAAATTCAGTGTCTCCAAAAATTAGAATTTTACTAAAGACCAATACAAAAAAATAGGATTTTTAGAAATGTTGGTCAACTGAAAAGTATGAACATGAAAAGTATGAGCATGTACAGCACTCAGTACTTTGTTGGGGCTCCTTTTGCCTGAATTACTGCAGCAATGTGGCGTGGCATGGAGTCGATCAGTCTGTGGCACTGCTCAGGTGTTATGAGAGACCAGGTTGCTCTGATAGTGGCCTTCAGCTCTTTTGCATTGTTGGGTCTGGTGTATCGCATCTTCCTCTTCACAATACCCCATAGATTTTCTAGAGAGTTAAGGTCAGGCGAGGCCAACTAAGAACAGGGGCACCATGGTCCTTAAACCAGGTACTGGTAGCTTTGGCACTGTGTGCAGGTGCCAAGTCCTGTTGGAAAATGAAATCTGCATCTCCATAAAGTTGGTCAGTAGCAGGAAGTATGAAGTGCTCTAAAACTTCCTGGCAGACGGCTGCGTTGACCTTGGACCTCAGAAAACACAGTGGACCAACACCAGCAGATGACATGGCACCCAAACCATCACTGACTGTATACCAGAAACACAGATACTTGTGGACCTTTAGCCATCTTTGTTTATGTACACTAACGTTGAAATGTCTTTCTCATAACTACAATCACACAGCTACATCATTTGTAAAAGAGTAACATACAGTCAAACAACGCCTGCAGACACGAGATAATTACACAAACAGATTAGATACAAGGTGTAAAGATAGGTGTAAACATGGTATAATAAACAGCTCCTGTAGCAGCACGGCTGGTAGCCATGGCAGCGAGGGAGAGTGACAGTCAGCAAGCCAATCACTGCATTCGGTCCGAATGACACGAGCGGCTGTGTTTACTGCAGCGCTGAGAGGATTAGAGACAGCAGAGTTTTATACTCTCTTTTTCAGAGCGCCTAACTTTTTAATATGCACTGGTGAATAAAGACAGTTTCAACAAATATGTCAAAAAGTGTTTAGAAGCAACTTGCCTACCCTGCCTTTAACTGATCCACACATCACATAAGTGTTATAGGTTGTTTTAAAGTTACAGCGAAGCCATAACGTTACTGAAGAATAGGCTGTAACAATTCATTTCAGTTCATGTAGGCAACACTAGCCTAAACTATCAGGAGAACAATGGACACAGTCGATACTTAACTTATTTTTCTTCATTCAAGTCAGCTTTATTGGCATGAATGTATAGCCTAACAACAATATTAGTATTATTAACTGATTATCGCTCGACATTTGACTGAATGAATGAATGAAAGAAACTGTTAGCTCTGGTAACGAAACATATGAACTTACCTTCAACAGGCTTCGCCCACACTGCCGTACTCAAACATACAGCGAAAGTCCAGAGTGGAAAACAGGTAAAGCCAACCATGAACTTTCCAAAGTGAACTATAAAAACACCTGAGAGCCAGACAAATATACAAAAGTACCTTAATATTTTAAAATGAGTTTCTTTAGCTTTTGGTGAGGTTAAGGGAACTTATGCCGCGTTCGAGACCGGTCGGAACTGGGTTTCCGAGTTGCATTGAACGCAGCATTCCCTCCATTCAGCAACGGCATTAAAGCATACGTCAAAGGTTAAAGCACACGTCAGTTCCGCAGTGTGTTACCCTGGTAACGTAAACACCTCGGATACCCGCTGCTCCTGTGGACATTCACTGATATTAAATATTGAATAGGGTAGAGTGGGGTAAGACGCCCATGGCCATGTTTAAAGTAACATAATATAAAGTAAATACCTACAGTTGACAAATTAATTTGAATTTCATCAAATGTAAAGATGCCCCCCACTGTTTGCACCCCAAACATACTAATTTTCCTACTTTAACCAAAAATTATAAAAAAAAAAAAATTCTCTCTAAACAATTGCATAACTTCTCTTAAGGCTCCCCTTAAAATTGTGAAATTTTGTGTTTTTTGTTAGAATTACCGTGGGAAGGCGTCTTACCACAGGGGGAGTTTTACCCCATGTTACCCTACATATTAAGGTGAGTAAATGTTAGTGAATTTCATGAATTGCAGGAGTCAATGAAAAGGTTTAAAACTCATGAAGAGTGAATTAATGGGAGAAAATTATGAATAACATAGGATGTTATTTCTTTCTTAGTGTAGAACTTGATTTGCATTTCTTAGTGTGGTGTAGTGTTAAATATTAACTTACACTCTAAAAGTTCAGACTTACTGCTGACTTTACTGTGTAGCTAACCTTGTAGTATAATATAGACATTTAATTCACACAATGGCCTCAAGAGGGAGGCTGCTGGCAGACCTGCTGGGGGATGTGGCTGACCAGCTTGAAAACAGGAAGTTTCAACTGTTAACCCAGTGCTTGAGAACATTATCACAGTTGCATTAATGTCGTGTAAAAATTCAAGACTTGGGCCAGATAAGAAAGCTTGAACTTTTACCAACATTTTTATTATCAGCAAAAACAGACACCAATTAGAACACAAAAGTTCCAGCGGAGTGTGTCAGAGATCAAAATAGAGCCCCATTCTGTTGCCAGAACAGAGACCAGAGTCGACATAAAAACCATGTAACGACCGACTTTCACCTCCTTTTATAGCTCTGTTTCTTGGCTTCA